GGTAATGAAACATTTGCAAGAAAAGAACCAAGCTCAGAGAACCCCAAGGACTCCACAGAAGGGACCTTTCCATGTTTCCAGGCAGTAAAGGTTCTTTCAATCATTCTGTACAAAAACAGATTACAATTGGAGATTAGTAGAGGAACGTAATATGGGGGCAATGATTTTTCAATGTAGATACTAATATCAATTTACTGCCAGAACATAGTTAAAAATCATTGTCAGACTCATTGATTTGAGAAGTTAAATGGACACAACAAACAATTTTAGAGGACATATGCTTATTTATTCCCTATGCATGGGCACTTTTATACTATAGTGCAAAATTCAGTAATACAGAATTTTGGAGAAATCCTCAGTTGCTCCTTAAGAGTTCTGAAGAAAGTAACATGGATTCCATAACATCAGGATGTCGATGAAAAGCAATAATAGGTTGGGTGTGAGTGGTGGAAAAAAATACTCATGTATAAGATTTGAAAAGATCCATTCCTTAAGATTATGTTAATTTTTTTACAGTACAACAAAATATCATGGTGTTGATGAAGAGAAATACAGAACTGAAGGAAGTGGGGGTGAAAAATCTGTGTACAGTATTTAAAATAATCAATTTCTTGAAACTGCATTGAAATATTGTTGAAAGTATTCTTTGACATCACTTTGCCTATACAAAGAAGTAAAGGAAAAATGTATGTCTGTATAATTAAGATTATGAAGGATCTGAAGAAAAAAATTCAAATTAATCGGAACTTCCCTTCAGAAAGAAGCCTTTCATGTTGAATTGGTTCATAAATATGCATTTTGGAATCATTGTGGACGAAAAATAATGATTATAGACAATAAAACATAATTACTGTAGGAAAAATATGTAGAATAATATTATAGCTATATGTCATTCTTAATATTTACTTGGTACTTATCTCTAATTAAAATCGAATATAAATTCAACTGTCAACCATAAGTTACTTACCCCAAAAGTAAAGAGTTGCATTATTCAGAACAGGAGGATGCATGTCTATTCATCCAACATACATGTT